TCAAATAAGTTCCCCAAACATTTTTTTTTCTATCATATGTTGCTTTAGAGTTGTTCAGTATTCTTTCTCCTCTTATTTTCTGACCTGTTTACCTCTCACTGCAACTTATTAATTCTAATTATAGACATCCAAGTTCTCCATTGTTCCTTCGATTAAGAATGTTACCACTAAGTGGACTTGTGTCAATCAATTGCGTATTGTTTATGTATAAACTTCAGTTTATGCCTCATGAATGTACGTTAAAAGATTTATTCCGTAAAAACTCACAAATTCATAATTATAATACACGTCAAAGGGGTCTTATTCATCAGCCTTTTGCAAGAACAAACATCACTCTGACCTCCTTCCATATCTCTTGCATCAAAGAATGGAACAGTTTGCCTGATGATATAAAAAATAGTACAACTCTTTCTAGGTTTAGAAGGTTATCTAAAGCGTACCTACTTGGAAGACTGACATAATTCTACTTTGTATCTTAATAATTTCTCATCTCAAATGCTTATAGACCACTAAGGACTGTGTGTGTGTGTGTGTGTGTGTGTGTGTGTGTGCGCGTGCGCGCGTGTGTGTGAACATTTTTTTTGTTTTCTTTATTCTGTAGCTTAGTTTGTTTCCATCCCTTGTATAAACATTACATTCTTTTTATTCACCTTGCCATATCGTTAATATATGTATTTTGTTGACTATAGGGCCCCGCTCACAAGCTTAGCTTCTACAGGGGTCCTAAAACCATTCACTTAATGATGTACTATTACCAGTCTCTTTTTCATGTAAAAGATTATATCATGTTTTGTGTGGTTTTGAATAAATGAACTTGAAACTTGAACTTGAACTTTAATGACTTTTTGTGATCGATTTATTATTTAATGTTTAAAGATATATTATGGATTTGAACAATACGTGTATATATTTGAACATAATTCTGTTTCTCATTGCATTAGATAGAGATAGAGAGAGGAAATGGTTCAAGCTACTTGCCGATGTTTTCTTCTCTTCGCATGTTTGACCTTGATCTTGACTGGGTTGGTGCGTGTGGGTGTGTGTGCATGTGTATGTGTGTGTATACCACTGTGTGATTTACTCAATGATTTAAGATCTCATGGCAGCCGATTGTTTTTATACGGCTGGGATAAAAGCCAGATTTTAACAACTTATTTACTTTAAAACGCAATCCGTCGTCCACTTATGAAGCCTGTGGGGGGCGCTAATCGCACAATTTGAGGGCTGAAAAGCTAGAATTTACGATTTGTGTGGTTTTTAGAAATGATTTATCACAAATTCCTCGTTCATCTCCCCAACCCATCCTACATTTATTATTGACACTTCTATTAGGGAGGCTTGGTATTCTTCGTTTAACTTCTTACAAAATATGTTAAGTAGATTTAATCCGATTGAACTTGTCATGATTTATGGTGCACAAAACAATGGTTGGGGGTAAACATGAACCTGCAGTTCAAACTGTGTGAAAGAATCGCTTGGGTTGAAAAAGTCTTCAAGAACGGATGAAATCTTGCCCACTAAGTTCAAGATTAGGAGAATCATAAACTGCTCAGCTTATTTGACTGATTAGATTTTTAAATAGATTTGATCAAAGTGACACGATTTTTGTCGTGCAGCCAGCTATAGAATTTATGCAACATATTTCGAAGCTAGCTTAAATAAATGTTATGACCCAGTTAACCCCCTGCAATATAAATACATTTTAACATTTAGTGGTGTTGCTATTTAGTAGAGTGATTTACACTGAAGATGCGAATGTCATCGGTTTGAGCCACGACATGGCTCTGCTATCCTGTATAGCAAGATACTAATCTGCACTTACCACTGTGCATTTGCAGAACCTGTACGAAATGAATTAATTAGTGTTGTAAGCACCGAAATCGGTCACCCAGATAAACTGGGGTACCTTGAGCATCATATTCATCATTATCATTTTATCATCTTATATGTTGTTATAATGCTAAAAATATTATGGATAATTATAATGGCGCCGGTATCCGCCAGGCTCTGACGCTCATGGCGCTTTACACATATTACCCTGGTCATAGCCGAGCTGCCCAAGTAACTAGCGCTCAAGCATAACAGGTACCCATTTACACCTGGGTGGAGAGTATAAAAATCAATGTAGTTTAACGTCTTGCCACAGGACATTAGTGCCGCGGCGGGACTTGAACCCCGTACCTTGTGATCTGCGGTCGGGTGACTTATCCACTAGACCACAACACCTCTACACTGTTTTTAATTTATTTACTTAACATTTTCATCAATCACCATTATCATAATATTCATCTTCCTTCTCCTCCACTACTTCATCATCATCATCATCATCATCATCATCATCACCGTCATCAACAACCAGTCCACACCAAGAACTTGATCAACGGTATGTTTTAAAAAAACATCATGAAACATTCAGTTTTATTGTCTCCAACGTCATCGACGTCGTGAATGATGATTAACGTGATCAATCATCACCATCATCATCTACATTATTAATGAAATTAGAATAGAGATAATCGTTATTACACAGTGGGGTTGTTTGGTATTCCCCCTTCCCCTCATCGAACTGCAAAAATAGGAGCGGGAGAAAGGAGATTAACACAAAAGAAATGGAAAGAGGAAAGCGATAAGTAAGGAGGAGATTATAAGACTCGTCCCACTGCATATACTCACGAATGGTAGCCTCGTTCAATTCGAACTTCACTTTCAAATTAAGTAGGACCGGGACCTTTTTAAACCTAACCTAGCCATACTAGCGCTGCATATTAATATTTGAATATAATGACTATTTGCGTTAGTACGGTGTTGTAGAGATCAAAATAAAATCGGCCAGATTCTGGACTAATTTAACCAGTATGTCGCAATGATTATGGACAAGTTTCGACCTGGGCCGTCATTCGTTTATGGTAAGCCTCCCGATTTTCTCGCGATGTCTTGTATTTTAAGTAAACATAGCTTTGCACTCGAAATTTTGGTATGAAATCTCATCAGATTCTGTGTGCGTGTGTATCATGAATATTTATGATTATATACCTCATTTTAAGATTCTTTACTAATCCTGTCTTCTGATTGGTTGAAAATGCAGTCATGTTCTTAACCATGCCCGCTAATTGAAATTCATATCCATTTTCCCCGGCTCTACCGGTTTATATCCATTTTTCATAGCACTTTTTCCATGGCTGTGAAACGTGACGTCATTTTGCTGCGATCCCCATTTTGGTTTACGTGTTACCGTATAAGTTTCTTTTGTGCGATGACCGATGCGCGATACCGTTAACGGTGTTTGAGTGCAATTCAATTTTGGTCGCTGCATTCAGGCGACGAATCTACCAATCCACGCAGCGCGCGCAGACGACCGATCGCCATTTTGTGTACTAGTCTCGATCGCAAAATACTGGGTTTTTTTTTCCAATTTTTTGTCAATAAAGAGGCAAAATGGAGGACACAGCTATGCCAAGATTTCAACTTATGGATGACATTCAGCTGCAAGACTTAATCGATTCTGCTGATAGCAAAAATACGAAGTATGCAGTAAAATACGGCATTAAAATATTTGAAGAGTTCTTGCGAAATGTCAACACGGACCTCGGAGATGTAAACAGACTTCCGAATGCAGACCTGGACAAGATCCTTCAAAAATTCTATGCGGGTTGCAGGCAGAAGAACGGCGATTATTACAGCAAGAAATCAATGCTAACGATCAGATTCGGACTTCAGCGTCACTTTCTCAATTACTGTTCGTGTAAACGTGTTTGGTATTCCCTGTTCTACTGGAGCACAGCTTGTTGGATTTCATACTGTACACAAGTTATTGTTGGTGTTAATATTCATGACTTCAAAGAGATGGAAACCTAAATGGGTGAGTCAACATTTTCCTTTTTTTCGGTATATAAAATATATATTGACTGCTTTTAATATTCGAGGCATAGTTGTTTCTATAGGGTCTCGGGGAAACTCACAACCTGCTATGACCCCGCGGCGCAAGCGCCTTGGGGTCATAGCAGGTTGTGAGTTTCCCTTGACCCTATAGAAACCACTATGCCTCTCAAAGCAGTCAATATATCCTTACTAGCACATGCCTTATAGGTTTCTTTGAGCCAATCAAAATGCAGCAGTAGGTTGGCTAGGTTAGGTTTTAAGAAAAGACGCAACCTGGTGCTAACCCATGAATTATATTTCATTTTAAAGAGTAACTGATATTCTATCTGATGATATCTTATTCATAACTCTGCCGCTAAAAATGACTGAGCAGCAGCCTTTTCTAAAAGTACTGTCAAAATCCCCTTGTACCAAGTTTGAGCTGAAGCAATAAATATGCGTCAAGAGCATGGTCCGAAAGCAATAAGCTCTTCGCATTGAATTTGTGTTTTGAATAGAAACTGTGACAATTTCAAATCAGACCCAAGAAAGAGTCTATTTTACAAGCATCAATTACAATATTCACTTTGTCATGATGACACAATCTTGGCTTCTGTCTTATCCCTTGTTTATGGTAAGCCTTGTCATTCATAATGGACAAAGTTGGCTTCTTATGCTCTTTCTTTCATAAAATTCTACTGTCAATATCATCATTAGTTATCAACATGTTTTCTTTCATGCATTTATTAATTCTTCGAGGCTTGTAAATCTCTAAATTTGGATGTGCAATTTATGAGACAAATACCTCATTCACTTACGCACCTTATGCATGTGAAATGATGCAATAGACAAGTGAGCACAGAGATATTACATATCATGAGACAAGAAGTTATCAGGCTGTTTAAAATAATTTTAGCTAATCTTGCGGATTAAAACAAGGTCCCGTGAAAACATTGCTATACATCGGATCACGTTAAACAATGAAACACTGAAGCATGAACCAGAATTTAAAGAGGATTTGACACCAAACGAATATACACATTGAACTTGCTCGGAAACAATAAAACTAACGCATTAGAAGAGAGAAGCAAATACTGTAAACGAATTAAATAGCATTTAAGTCATACAAGTTTTATACTTACAACAAATATCCTCTTTCTTTTTGCTAGCAATCCCTTGAGAGGGTCCTTAAAAAGATCAAGACGTCTGACTACGCACTTTCCAAAGTTAAAGTTTGATTTTTGTTTAAAGCTTTAACCATTCACTTCACCTCTCTACATGTGGGACTGATGGTCTGTGGATATAAAAACTGACTATATATGTTTTATTTTCGATTATATAACCAAAGTCACACAACGAATCCTTGTTTAAACTTTCCTTTCATTGACATGCAAATTTGTAACTGAAACATCCAAATTGGTCCGCCTTATCCTTGCTTATGTCAATCGGATCGTTGTTTGAGGAAAGGTGTATAATGCGAAAGATGGATCTATTTACTTTCTTACATTTCTCTCTCTCTCTCTCTCTCTCTCTGTCTCTCCCCTTCCGTCTCTGTCTGTCTGTCTGTCTGTCTCTCTCTCTGTCTCTCTGTCTCTCCCTCTCCCTCCCTCTCTCTCTCTATCTATCTCTCCCCTCTCTCTGTCTGTGTGTGTGTGTGTGTGTCTCTCTCTCTCTCTCTGTCTCTCTGTCTCTCTCTCTGTCTCTCTCTGTCTCTGTCTCTCTCTGTCTCTCTCTCCCCATGTCATCTTGTTATGCTCTTTCCCCACTCTGTGCACACTATCTGATTTTCCTTTGATATTCCTGCTACTCAACCGTTCAGTTTCTTTTGATGTATCCTTTCCTCCGATTCCTCTCCGCCATCTGTATTCCTCATACCACGCTCTCTCTGTTTGTATGTATGTCTGTCTCTGTCTCTGTCTCTCCCCTCTTTCCCTCTCTGTCTATCTGTCTCTCTCTGTCTCTCCCTGTGTCTCTTCTCTCTCTCTCTCTCTCATCAACCGCCTCTATATTACTATTGAATTGAATTGAATTGATTTTCTTCTGCAACATCCAAATCAAATTACATTTCAGCAATAAAACACTTACTATACAAAATATAACATGTTTCTTGAATGTGTATACAATATATTGTATTAAGAAATGATGACATTAAAACAAAATTTGACTGATAACACAATACCAAGAATTATTCATTAAGAAATTTGCAAAATAATAAGAAGGGTATTACAATAAGCGATTTCTTGATAGCGTGATAGCCTGGGGGAAAGGGAAGAGGGATGATGATTTAAAGGAGCTACACAAAGAAAATTCACTAACAACTCATAATTAGAACAAATTACATATGGATGGAAAGATTTTCTCTTGAAAAACACGAACAATTTGCTGAGAAATCATATAGAAATCATGGAAAGGCGTAAAATGCAATTTTTCAAGACCCTCCTTAGACCCCCGAACGCCCCTGAACGTAAGTCAAACACACAAGCGAAGCGAGCTCTAAATAGTGACGTCACACACTGGACGAACAGCTCAGTGTCGTGTAGCAGTATGCAGCTAGCCAGCCGTGTCCCGTATGTGACGTCACAAATATTGACGCTCTACAAAGGACCGCTGAAGGCAGAAAATCTGGATCTCAAAACTAACATTTTTGAGAGTTGATTACTGCGGGCCCCAAACATATTTTGAAGAGAAGAGTTGTTGTATTTGATCTGGAAGGCTTCCCCTTCGCAATGATATGAGTTTTGCATCAATTCAAAACACTTTTGATTCTTCGTGTGGCTACTTTAAAAAATGTAAAACAACTGGTGATTGTGATGATGTTGATGATGGTGATGATGTTGATGATGATAATGATGATGGTGAAAATGAAAATGAAAATAGGCTGATGTAAATATGTATACGGGAGTTATAAGATATAGTGATGGATGTTTTATAGGAATCTGAAAATAACATTGATTATTATAGTCTTCGAAGTGGTGCAATAAATCAGTGTATTCAATATGTTTAGCGCAGTATACCTGGATTAGTGACCAATATTGTTTTCGTATTGCTCAGTCATCCGGGAACTTCAACTATCGATATCACACGAAAAAGAAAAAAAATCTATTTACCGAGGTAAGTCAAATTTTGTTCTTTTGCTAGTCAGACTAATATAGATAATAATAATGATACTTTATGGCTTTGTTTTCGTGTTATACCAGAATATTAGCCTCGTCTTCGACTCGTCCAATACTGTCATAGCTCACACTCAAAGCCATCCAATATTATATCAATATTAATTCAGCACTGGGAAAAGATAAAACAATGTACTCTGATATAAATGCTTTATACGTATTGAATTTAAATGAATTTGGGGTTTTACATGATTTTATTGGGAGTGCATTCCATGAATCTGGATAATGATGTCTTGTTGATTTATGGAGGATAACAAATTTGGGACTTATCAAATATGTTTGATAAATTCCGAGTAGGGTAAGGATGGATAGCGTGTTTTGATACACCCCCCCCAAAAAAAAAAATAAATAAATAAAAAAAAAAAAAATATATTTTTTTTAATGAATCAGGAAGCTGATTATATATATGTATTCAAACATGAAGATCAATTTTTTTTGTGCATTTATATAAAACATTGTCAATGTTTTATATTCATTATATGGGTTGATATCTCTCTCTTTCATTTACAATCTCTCTCTTTACACTATTTATCTTTCTTTCATATAATCCAACGTTTGTTTTTTTAAGTATCTCCATTTGTCTCTCATTCTCAAATTATATCCCCTTTCACTGTTTCCACCAGTCACATACATACACGTTTCTACCTCATCTTGCTCTCTCTTCATTCTCCTTCCCGTGTCTTATCTCCCCCTCCCTTTGCATGCAGAACACAAGTTTCCAAATATAAATTAGCGGAAGGACAATGTGATGTATTTCTATTTAAAACATCCCCATTTGTATCATCAATGCCCTAGGTTAATCCGATACGTCAGTATGAAGTCAAAAGGCGTGTAATTATTGTCTGTTATTGCAATCTCTAACTTGGATAAGTATTTTTTTAACACACTGACACTGCTCCGGTGATGCCGTAGTCAAGAATCTGACCCATTAAATGTTCAATAATGTCCACAACCGCGATCTCCCCGGGCGTCGCTAGACCTTTTCCAGTGGGGGGGGGGGGGGGGGGGGGGGGGGGGGCGGTGTGTAGAGAGGCCACTGATTACCGACAAAACTAGCCCTATAAACCCGGGGCCGGGGGGCTAATTTTCTTACCTATTATCTGTACCTGCACATGCGAACATGGTCATTTCCCTTGACCTCATAAATATAGGGGTTTATTTCGTCAAGACTAGTCAGCATCGTAGCTATATTAACAAAATAATGTACGGTATGGCGTGATCGGAAAGAGCGCTGCGTTTGTACGCAAATCTGCAGGGTTCGAAGCCCAATTGGGCAATTTTGTAAAACCCCTTTTGTCTTTTTCTGATACAACAATAGTTAGGTTGACGATGACAATGAAAATTGACGATGATTTTTAATGATTGCTGGGTTAGTGAGCACTTTTTTTTATAATTTTTTTTATTTGACGGAGGTGGGGGGGGGGGGGTATGGAAATTTGTTTTGGTCTCAGCACCCCCCTCCCCCCCTTTGAGCCACAAATACAAAATACTTTGTTTTTGTTTTTTGTTTTGCCAGGGGAGGGGGCCCGTCTTCTTTTTCTGGATCCGCAGGAATTCGCCTAGTGTATATAAGAAGTTCATCGCGGTGCATTTGTCGCCAGAACTCGTGTAGAATAACCAGGGATGGTGTTACTTTCCGCGATGCTCTTTTCGAATTGTCATATGGTAAATTAAACAAATATCATCTTCCTGATTAAGATTATGACTCTTGATATGAATACTAACAATAAAGAAATTAGTGCCTTTCGGCTTTTTCGTCAGAGTAAAAGCCAAATCGGCGTTAAATTGCGCACTGAAATGACGTCATCACGATTCCGGGCCATTTAAGTTTTCCTCCTCCAAAGAAGCTCACAGTCTCCCCAAATTTGTATAATACTATTCCAATCAGATTTACATCTTTGAATGATCTGGTCAAATGATTTTGCATATCGTTCTAAAATAGGATCGTAGTCAGGTGTTTTGTGCGGTGGGCTAATTCATGGCCCTGGGAAGCGGGGGTGCTGGGGGTGCTGCAGCACCCCCTGCAAACAATTTCGTCTGATATATTTAATGTATATCATTATGCTTCGTGTACGAAATTGCCACACAGCCGACAGCCACATATGACACTTTTTTTTTTTTTGCTCCCGAAAATTTTAAAATCGCGCCGGCCGAAAAGTCGCTCAGTAGGGGGGGGGGGGGGGGGGGGGGGGGTAGTTAGCACATTTTTTTTTTTTTGGCCCTCGAAAATTTGAAAATTTGCACCCCCCAAAAAAGCTAAAAAATCACGTGTTTTTTCCCAGGGGGGACCCGGGCCCACTGCCCCCCCCCCCTGGATCTGCCACTGCTTACAGGGGTTCAAACTAGCAACAAAAATCGCCTCAAACTTCCCCCTTGGCAAAAATCTAGATCCGCCCCTGTGTATACGTGTATATATATCTCAGCACCCCCGGTGAAAAAAATCGTTCCCAGGGCCCTGGGCTAAATGAATCATTCAAGCAGAGATTTTCGGCCCTGAAAAATTGAACTCGAAGATGAATTTAACAAATTGGAATGCCAGTACTCATGATAAATTCGTTAAAGGGCCTATCTCACTGAGCGGCGAATGCTTGCGAACGTAGCGAATTTGGGGTTTCGCCAGAGTTTGTAAAATGTTGTAAAAGGTTGCAAGAAAGATCGCAAACAGTTTTCTTTGTTGTAAACAGTTTTTCTTGTCGCAAAGAAATTTTGAACATGTTCAAAATTTCTTTGCGAATTTATTTTTCCGCAAACAGTTGCAGGCGTTTGCAAAACAGTCGTTAGCGTTTGCAAAACAGTCGTAAGCCTTTGCAAACGGTTGTTAAACGGTTTTGCTCTTTGTTTTCGTCAGTTCTCTGTGTTTCGCAAAAGCTAGCGACCACGTTACCATATGGTTCCTTTATAAAATCTACCCATTGAGTACCAGTAGTTAGCAAAAGGTCTCCAACTTTCACAAATAGTGGCAAAGGATTGGCAAAACGGTTGCTAATCTTCGCAAAAGTTGTCGCTAACATTTGTTTACAGTCGCTAATAGTCGCCAACTGCCTTTCGCAAACACTCTCGGAGACATTCGCTAAAATGTTGCTAATTGTCGCTAAACGTCACTTAATGTCGCTGA